AAACCATCCATCCCTATCTGCTGCCTGCCTCAACTTCTACCTGGAAAAGGACCATCCCTGCCTGCCTCAACCTCTGCCTGCAAACTGGCTATCCTGGCCTGCTGCCTGCCTCAACCGCTACCTAGAAATCAAGCATTCCTACCTGCTGCCTGCCTCGACCTGGAAAAGGACCATCCCTGCCTGCCTCAACCTCTGCCTGGAAACTGGCTATCCTGGCCTGCTGCCTGCCTCAACAACTGCCTGGAAACCAACCATCCCTTCCTGCTTCTTGTCTCAATCTCTGTCTGGAAATGGACCATCCTTGCCTGCTGCCTGCATTGACCTCTAATTTGCGGATGAAATGCAATCACGCCGCGGTGTTCACTCCTTGCACTGACGGCGGCCAGGAAGTCTTATCTGCGTTATAATTCTCTATCTCAGGGTTATAGACGAGGAATGAAGCTCTTTGGAAGTGATAACATGGAACTCTTCCCCGTGTTGCACTTTGTTGGGTTTGCTGGTTGCTTTGGGCTGCTACAATGTAATCTGTATAGAGATGTCACCGCTGCAGACCGGAGAGGGGCTCTCACGTTGATTTTTGGTAATAGATCGCGCAATGTCATTTTTATTTAACAAATCCTCTTTTTGATTTATATTTTTTACCGGCTCTACCAGTTTCTCATTCACCGAAATGTTCCCATTTGTTGTGAAGAATTCCTGCACGGCTTGTAGAGAATTCCGTCTCAGCTTAAAAACCTCCCAAGGGGCCGTATTCTGATCACAGTGCTGTAGTGGAGAATATTTACTTTAGCTGCGCGCAGTGTGCAAATGGCATTTCTTTTTTTTTTTTTAACTCTTCTGCATCAATTTGCAGCCAATTCAGACAATAAAGTGACACGAAACTCCGGAATTAAATCCTAAAAGTACATTTAGGAACCTGAACCCCGAACAACAATGTATCCTAAATCCTAAAAAATGTATACATTTTTACATCAGTTTCAGGCAGTTTGACTGTTTTGTATGAGACACTCCGAAGTTTCTGGCAAATGTTAAAAAATAATAAATCAAAATGTCTACTCCGTGAACGCAGACTAATGGCCTCCCTTCAACGTGACACTAAACTCCGGAGATTAATCCTACAAATCCCTCCGAGTCCCCGAACTCTGAGCAACAATGTATCTGATTTGTGTATCACTCGGCTGCAGATCCTCCGATCATCTCTGACACTGTCCTTCCTTCTGGAGGGGGGCTACGTCTGTCCCCCATGGTCCCTGTGTGTGTTGTGAAGTAGTAACCACTCCAAGCTCCTTCCCGGGATGGACTACAATCTCCATACAAATTAGTAAACTAAACCTGAGATTGTAGTCCATCCTGGGAGGAGGAGCTTAGAGCGGTGACTACAACACACACAGGGACCATGGGGGACAGACGTAGCCCCCCTCCAGAAGGAAGGACGGTGTCAGAGATGATTGGGGGATCTGCAGCCGAGTGATACACAAATAGGATACATTGTTGATATTACTTAAGGTTCCTAAATGTACTTTTAAGATTTAACTCGGAGTTTAGCGTCACTTTAAAAAGGAGAAGTCTGTGCACCTCCCTGTAAATTTCTAGGACTGTTCCCGGCAAAGCCACTGCCGATAGTTGGTTGCCAAGCTGACGTCTGTAAAGCATTCAATGACAATTTTAAAGCCAAACACAATATAAAATACAACAGCATTATTTATGG